GTTCATGTTCTTTGTTGGGAGTGGAGAAGAGGGGGAGGAGGGAGGAGGCAGGACTAGGTATTTGTAAGCCTCAAGCAATTAGGCAAGGTTTGAAAATTACACACACTTCCTGTTGTTAGGCACCAGAGACTTTAAGCCTTCACTGTAATACCTGTAACTTGCCTATATATTTATGCCTATGTGCCCAGAGAACCCATTTTTCTAACATCATTGGTTAGAAGGGACCTTAAAGATCACCCAGGCCAACTCCCTGCCTTTTATGAACAAGAAGACTTAAGATTCAGAAAGATTAAATAATTAAGTGACCTTTGCCCAAGGTCACAGTAGAAAGTGGCAGAGCTAGGTTTCAAAACCAAGTTTTCTGCCTCCAAATCAAGTCCTTTTAGTATGTATACTTATAAAAGATAATATTAAGAAGCTTGTTCCTTGTTTTGCTTCATGCATCTTCCTTTTTACCCATCTCATACGCATACTTTTTATCTAAGTGGTTACCTACTTTTCCAGTCCTTTGCCCCAAACTTTGATTCCTGGAGTTTTATTGATTATTTTGAAAAGAGGCATAGGGTTTCTCAAAATTTCTTATCACAAAACAACATCGCATCAAACTCAAAAACGTTTCAGAGTTTTCTAAATGAGATCCATATCCATTACTTAAAAGATTTTGGTCTAATTTTCCACACAAGAAAAACAAAATAGATAAAAAATGCCTTTTGCCAAAAATGTAGTATACACTTGAATGGACAAGCTACATAGGTAGTTCATCTCTTCATATCTTTTGGACAAATACTGCCCACAGACAGTGACCTAGGCTCATAATTAAACAAGAGTTTCATGGACAGGTCTACCTTTGAAAAATTTCATAGCCCTTTGAATAGTCCTTCACTTCTCCCTGTAACAATGGCCTTCTTTTTTAATATCAATTTTCTTTCATCAGTGTTTAGTGGCTGTGAGTCAGGAACGCTATTGTCTCTGAAGAATTAAAGTTTCAGGTCACCCGAAGGGAAAATGAGAAGGAAGGCACATCCAGGGTTGATGTGAATAGGCAGCAATATTTTTGTGGTTGGTGTTGAGCATTTCAGTTATGTCCAACTCTTCATGATTCCTTTTTAGGGTTTTCTTGGCAGAGATACTGGGGTAGTTTGCCATTTCCTTCTCTAGCCCATTTTACAGATAAGGAAACTGAGGCAAACAAGGTCAAGTGACTTGACCAGAGTCACACAGCTAGTAAGTGTCTGAGGCCAGATTTGAACTCATGAATATGAGTCTTTCTAATTCCAAGCCCAGTGCTCTATTTATTGTACTACTCAGCTGCCCAGCAACATATTACCAAAGGGAAAAAAAATGGAATATATAGGGTGTCGCCAGGGAGATTTATGACCTGAAAAGGAAAGTAGAGCAGTTATGCAGCAAGATCAAGAGATAATCTTGAACAACTCAGGTTTACCATTGGTATCTATGCAATGCTGAGAGATCTAGTGGAAAGACAGCACCCACCACCACCCCAACATATGGAGACCTTTCATGGAGGAATTACTTAAGACATAGACAACAGCTGCACAGGATAAGTTGTGGGGCCGAGCTGTGATGTGCACCATTGGAAGGACTGACCATATCATAATGAGATCCCAGCTCCTGGGAATAATAGTCTATAATTGGCATAAATTTATAGTGATGGGGTCAGAGCAAAACCTGGCATGTCTGCATGAGGGGTGTGAGATTGCAATCAGTCTATTTCTAGGTAATGATCTAACATAGCTTCATACTGAAAAATACATTTTTCACATAGCCTGATAGATTTTTCATTAAGGAGGATCATTTTGGCTATATACACAGCAAATCCTTCATATCTGAAGGTACCAGTGTTGCTTTCAGAAATGGTGAAGTTCTGTATATATACTATCCTTAATATTGTACCTGGCAGAGATAAGAGAAAGCATGGTCTTTGGTGATGGCATGGTCTCTTATTTGAAGGGAAGGTGTTGTCAGTTGGAAGACAAGAATTACTGTGTGTTTCATTGCAAACACCCCATAATTCAACACATTTGAAGCAGTTGGGATTTACCTTGTTGGCAATGCTGAAATTCCCTTAATTCAGGAGTCCTTAACCTTTTCTGGGTCATAGGACCCTTGGGCGGACTTTTGGGGCCTTTCTCAGGAGAATGTTTTTAAATACATCAAATAAAACTCATAGGATTACAAAGGAAATCAATTATATTGAAATATAATTAGCAAAACTTGTTTTAAAAATTCACAGACCCCAGGTTAAGAACCTCTGCTTAACAGGATAAATTCCCACTTTTAAGAAAGAAAAAGGGGAGGAGGGTTGGGAAGGAATGGGGGAGAGCATCTCTTTCTTTTGTTTCAGATGATCCAGAAGAGGCAAAGTTGTTAAGCATGGGACAAAAGTTGTCAAGGGATTGGCATTTTATGAGGGGACCTGATGGGGAAGAGTCAAAAAGGGGAAGCAAAATGAAGGGGAGAGGAGGCAGAGAAGCAACTTGTTTTGTTTTTACTAGAGTCTTTGGAGGGAGGGTTAAAGAGTTTTTAGATAATAGGAGGAATGTGTGTGGGGGCAGGGAAGGTAATGAGCAGTGCTTTGACTGGAAATATAGGATAACTGTTCTTTGCCAGTAATATTGCATTCTTTTGCTTTTGGGCCTTTTATGTACAAGCTCATGGACAAATAATAAACATATTTGCTGTATCATTTTCCCAACCTCAATTAAAAGGACTGTTAACTTCTATGGAGAAAGTTTTATATGGTGGAATGAGTTGGTATGTAGGAGCCAAACTAGGGTTTGATTCCTTGCTCTTACTTAAATGCATAACTTTAGGCAAGGCATTTAAATTCTCTGAGCCTCATTTCCTTCATCTACAAAATGGAAATAATGCTTCTACTCTCTGCTTCAAAGAGTTGTAGAGAAAGGGATATGTAGACTTGTATTATTATTATCATTGTCATTATCATTATTATTAGGCAGCTCTTGGAATAATCTTTGAAAAGCTACAGGAATGAAAGTGTGGTTTGGGTCAGTTTTGGTTTTTATTGGTTTATTGTTATAGTTCGTTTACCCCTTCTCCCAGCAGCCTTGATATGAATGTTACTACTTTTTAAATGAAAATAATTTCACTCCAGTACAATAACATATCAAATGGTCACCCCTTACCTTTCTAGCCTGAGATTTAACAGAGGCTGTTAGGAGTAGGCAGAGATAGATAATCTACCTAAGACTTTCTCCCCTGCTAATGTTTGTAATTCTACCCCTAAAGAGGCATTCCTTTGAGTTAAACTTTGGGTGCTCTTTCTGTCTCTCTGTGTCTTTCTTCTCCTCTCTCCCTCCTTTCTCCTCCCTCTTTTCCTCCTCTCATTTCTATCCCCTGTCTCTCCCTCTTCTTCCCCTTCACCCTTCTCTCTCTCCAGGCTGAAAAGCATTCCGCCTAACGTTGCCCATGCATTGCACATGATACGTAAATTCAGTTTCCTGTGGAACGAAAGGAGACCATAGCATCACAGTGGGAGAAAAGGGACTTAGAAAGGTGAAGAAGGGAACACTTGCTCAACATTCCTTCCCCCTTCCCTCCTCCCATACACACACTCTGCCCTTTTCACTGTAGGATGCCTACCTCTTTTTACCAACTCAACGAGGAAACATATTAGTGACTGGATTGTGAAAACTCATCGTATGGTGCCTGTCTGCCCTTTAACTTTCCCCATGGTTCTTGCCTGTATGTTTGGGAGTTCAAGATTTTTTTTTTCTTTTATAAAGATTTAAATTGCCGTAACAGCTTTTAAAGCACTGGTCACATGGTATAAATGAACTAGGAAGTATTAAGTATTAACTGTGTACCAGGTACTTTGCTAAGCACTGGGGATATGAATTTTAAAAAGCATGACAGTACCCGCTCTTATGAAGCTTATATTTTAATGGTGGAAGACAGTATGTATGGGAGAATGGTGGCCAGAGAGGGATGTTTTAGTTTGGAAAGTCACTGGAAAGGTGAGTGGACTCACAGGTCAGTTTGTTGACATATCCTTTCCAGGAAAGGTCATGTTGATTTGATTATTATTCCCAGAACAAGAGGTAGAAAGCCAGATGTTTGGAAAGGTCAGATCCTTGTAGCTTCCAGGTAGAGAGTTTATGGCTTCCTAGACTATAAGAACTGTGAGGGTAGGAACCATGTTTTCTCTAAACTATGTACCTCTCTGTAATGTGTAACATGGTTTCATGCACTTAGGCCCTTAGTAATTGTTTATTGAATGGAACTAGTGCCTCTGATAATGGGGAAAGGTGACTGTGTTGTCAAGTACAAATTAACATACAAATGTTTATACCCTTTAAAAATTATTTTTGTTTTTACATCTACTAATGTATCCCTCCCGCACCAAAGAACCATCCCTTTTAACAGAAATTTAAAAGATCCAAAAAAAAAAGAGTCAATAAAACTACTAAACATAATGACCAATTCCAACTTTATATTCGGTATTCCATCCCTGTAGTCCCCTACCTCTTCAAAAAAAGGAGGGAAGTGAACTCATATCTCTCCTTCTGATTCAAATTTGGTCATCATAACTGTACAACATCCAGTTTTTATTGTTTTTTTGTTTTTATTTGAGTTTGTAGTCATTGTAATCCTTGTTTTCCTTGTTCTGCTTCCTTCACTTTGCATCGGTTCATATAAGCCTTCACATTCCTCACATTTGTCATTTATTGCAACACAGTAATATTCACAACTTGCTTAGCCACTCCCCAATCAATGTTCCCTTACACTGTTTCCAGTTTTTGCTTCTTCAAAAAGTGCCGCTATAAATAATGTTGGCAGAGCTTTCTTTTTTATCATTAACCACTTCAGAGTATATGCCTCTTCTTTTTTTCAGTGACCTCTGCTCCCAGATGAACAGAATCCTAGGGAATTTGAACACTATTTCTTTTAAAGTGTTTACTTTGTGAATTTCCCTTCCTTCCATGGAACCAACACAGAGTGTTTTGGGTTATTTTCAGGTGGATGCTGCAAGTGATGAGGAAAAGGAAGATGAGCAGGAACTGACCCCAGAGGAAAGGAGAACCTTGGAAAGAAAACTGAAGAAGGAACGTAAAAAAGAACAAAAGAAACAGCTTCGGGAAGCAGGGATTCATGTTGTAAAAGAAGACCCTCAAAAACCATCTGGAGCAGAGTTGGCCTTAGACTATCTCATTAGGTAAGAATCTTCGCCACCTCTCGGATCATCCCTCTACCTTATTGATGCCACTTAGGAAACAGAGACCTAGTTGAAGGTCCCAAACTAGAGAAACCAGCCTAGCATCTTGAAAAATTTCTTTCTGGTCATTGCTAAATACAGTATATTGTTTCATTCCAGCTGGCTTGTCTGAATAGTATAGTCCGACCCAAGTTTACCTGAAATGGCTTCACATGCCTTAGCTGTCTCTGGGATCTTTAAAAGCTGGCACAGAGCCCAGTGAAAGTCTGCATAAAGAGCAGTCACTCGATCCTACAGCCTTAATACAGATGGCATTGCTTTAACTTTTCCATAACAGAAGATCACATAGTTGCATTTAACTTAACCAAGAGGACAGTGGGCTATTAGGAAGTTCCACATCAGAGAAACTGTACGTTAAATTACACAAAGTATGTGTATTTTTAGAACCTGAGTATTTATAATCAGAGACAGAGGAAGGGGACTGTTGTGGATGTTCCTAGACCCTGGCAAAGGTTTGATGTTAACTAAGCTAACAGCTTTGTGCGTGGCTTCTTAGATGCTTATGGAAAGCCATAAACCGCGGGCTGTGGTGAAATTCAAAACCATTGTTAATTTAATCCCTTTTCCAACTAAGTAAGGTCACTTGTCCCAAGCAAGGGCAAAAAGTAAGGGATTGTTTTGGCTTGTTGTTGTTGTTGGTTTGGTTTGGTTTTTACTTCCTACCCACTGGTAATCACTAGGTAAAAAATTCTCATTCCAAAAGATGGGATTTTCTAGTTTCTTTTAAAGCCCAGCTCAAATGCCACCTACTACAGCTCTTTCCTAGTTACTGCCACTGTTAGTGTTACTCTTTCCTGTTCTCTCTCTTGCCTCCTCACTCCTTTTCCTTTTCTCCCTCTCTCCTTTCTTCCCTATCTCCCTTTTTTCTCCCAGCAAATATATTCTAAACAATCTTTGTTAGGTGCACACCATCCCTGGCCATGAGCTTATCATTCCTGTGTTTTAAGCTGTGTTCTAGAAATCCAAATTCCATTCTTAGAAACCATCTTAACCAACTGTTTGTGAAAGTTCTGCCAGGAGAACGGGAAACCCTGGCAGATTCAGTGATGGGTCATCCCTTTCTCTTTCTTTTTTCTCCCTCTTTCTCTCCCTTTTCCTTTCACTCTTTCTTTTCCTTTCATTTGAAAAATCCATTAGTCTCCTAACTTATTCCCCATGAAGATTCCTTATGAAAATGGTATTCCCAACTAGGGACAGGTGTGTTTCATTTGCTTAACATTCATCATGAAGGAAAAGCAAGTCAATTGGAATCTTGGAGTAGGGAAGCATAACGTTAATAGCTAAGTTTCTGATCCTGAGGAAATAATGGGAAGGTGACTTTTGATTTGCATTTGAAGCAATTTTTTATATTTTATTACACAATGAAACTGTCCTTTTGTCAGTGGTGACCGTGAAAGGTAAGTTAATGAAATCATTTACCCTCTTCAAGTCTTAGGTTCTTTTACAGTAAAATGGGAATGATAGCCCTTAGACTAGTCTGCAGGTTTCAGGATTAAATGAGATGATGTATTTAAAGTGCTTGGTAAACCATGAAACAGAAGGAGCATTGAACCAATGACTTTTAGTGACATGCACATGATGCTGATGAAAATTGCTCCCTTTAGAATCCTAGCTCAGTTAGCTGTGCTGTTCATTAATTTGTATTAACAGCAAAGCAATAGATTTGGTATTCAAATTTCCACATAGTCTCTCCTCCCACTCCCCTCATACTCCTCATTCCCTTCTAACCCTGAGCATGTGGGGGCACTTTTGCTTCATCGCAAGGTACACCTAACACCTTAAGGAACTCTTGGGTTCTATTTCCCATTTTATAGTACATGTTCACTTGCATTCTGAAAACCAAGGTTTTTGGTTAATTGGGTACTTTTATTAACTAAGAGCAGCCATTTATAGCTATACCTGTCTATACAGACACTTAATACTACTAATAATAGTATCTACTATTTACAGAACACTTACTAAGTGCCAGACACTATGTTAAGTGCTTTACAATTACTGTTTCATTTGATAAAGTATACTTCTGTACTTTAAGGAGCATCATTTTTATCAATGGGTTTACTCCTTCTACTCACAGAGATCATAGCCCCTAATTTTCTTAGTGGGTCTTTGAGAGTTGCTGCCATTGAAAAATCAATAATCCTGTAGCCAGCCTTTGAAACATAGCTAGTTGGGTTCTCAGATGACAGAGACACATATATACATACCATCCCTGAGCTCATACTCAAAGTCTCTCAAGCAGTAGGACTTGCTCAGACTTGTACTTTTCTTACACTGGGATGTCCTTCAAGAGCAGCTGGTTAAAAAGATGGTGTCTGAAAATGGGTTTGGAATTTCTGAGCCTTAAAATGTAAGAATGAACAGGTTCCTATCAAGGATGGTATAAACCTAGGAGCCTTACAAATCTAAACAGTTGTGCTATTAATTGAAAAGGAAGAGAGAGGGAGAAAATTACATATAACTGTAGATGTAGATATATCCACTAACCTAGGTGCCATAGGCAATAGTTATAACCTAAGAATGGCAGTTGAGACACCCAGAGTTTATAGGAGACAAAATCCAACAAAAAAGTTAATGATAAAATCAGTGACCTCAAATGTCTATACACAGATGCCGAACATATGGCTAATAAGCAAGACTAGTTAGAGATCCTAATGCAGAGGAACAAATTTGACCTATTAAATATCACTGAGATTTGGTGGCATAAGATCCATGATTAGACTATAACTCTGGAAGGGTATACCTTATTCAAAAGAAGCAAAAATAGTTAAAAAGATATGGGGAGGAAGAATAATCAAGGAGAAAGATGGGGGCATTGTCTATTTAGAAATCATACTTATGTAAGGAAATATAGGAAGAAGAGCAGGGAAGATCATGGAGAGCTTTTGGATTAAGATCAATAGAGGCCAAAACAGAAGGTGTATTGTCATGGAATTACTGCAAACCTTGGACATAGAAATAAATGAGAAGCTCAGGAAACAGACTATAAGCCTGGCACAAAGGCTTGATAGAGTTGTGATAGGGGAACTCCAGTTTTCCGGTTATTTACTAGAATTCTCTTTCTTCCATAAACAGAACAGCTAAATTTTTTCTTGATTTGCCTTAATGATAATTTCATCCTTTGAAAAGTGAAAGAAGCAACAAAGGGAAGTTCTATTCTAGATCAATCTGATTCTCACCAATAGCAAGAAATAAGTTGTTTGCGTGGAAGTGCTGTGAATCTTTGAGGGAAGTGGCCACTCCATCTGGGAGTCCACGATCCTCTGAGGAGGAGAACGTCAGGCATAGCCTTGCACACATGCTAAGTTTGTACCACCAGATTTTCATAGTCTTCTAAGGAACAGTAATTGGATAGTATGAACTAAAATTCAGTTGGAAAGTCATGCTAGGAAAGTTGGATACAAATACAAAGTCACAGATCAAGGTTGTGAAACTTGCTGATTTAAAAGGATGGTGGTACCCTCAATAGAAATAGAGAAGTGGGGAGGAGGGATGAGTTTATGTAAGAGAGATACTGAAATTCATTTTGGACATGCAGAATGTGAAATTCCTACAAATTGGGACACTAATCCATTGTTGGTGGAATTGTGAACTGATCCAACCATTTTGCAGAGCATTCTGGAATTATGCCCAAAGAGGTATTAAACTGTCTGTACCCTTTGATTCAGCAGTATCTCTACTTGGTCTATTTTCAAAGATGGTTAGGGGAAAAAGGAAAGGAACCTATATATTTTAAAATGTTTATAGCAGCTCTCTTTGTAGTAGCAAAGAACTGAAAATGGCAGGGATGCCCATCAGTTGGGGAATGGCTGAACAAGTTGTGTTATATGATTGTGATGGGATACTACTGTGCTATAAGAAAAGATGAGTAGGCAGGCAGGAGCAGTTAACTTTTGAAAGCTGCAGAGAAGGCAGGTAGAATGAAAACTTAGAAAAGGCCATTGGATTTAGCATTTAAGAGCATAATCTTTGAGAAAGCATTTTCAACAGAGTGATGAGATCAGCATCCAGAAGGCAGGGATTTGAGAAAGGAGTGAAAGATGAGTACATCTTAGAGGAAACAAGTGTAGACAACTCTTTCTAGAGAGATCATAAGATAATAAATTTAGAACTAGATAGACTTGTAGGGGTCACCTAGTCAGTAGAGTGATATTGGATGATGAATTGAGGGGTTGGCAGAGCAAGTGAAGGGTTTTGTTTGGTTGGTTTTAAGTATTAGGGAGAACTATCTGGCTGTGTTATTATTAGGCAGCTGGGAAGGAATCAGTGGATAAGGCGAGTCTGAAGAGGAGAGAAGAAAAGGAGCTTCCTAAGGATGAAGGAAGAGATGGGAATTCAGGTGCTGGCCAGGATTATGGAAGTTATTTCTGATCGTTTAAGCTTTCTTGTTTGATTTCTGGAAAAGTAGCAGTCAAGTAGACCCAGCCATGTTGGGTTTGCCATCATTTATGAAAATAGTGCTCTTATTAATTACAAGATCAGTCTTTCTTAAGAGTACCGAACAGTCACCTGCAGCATAGAAAGGCAGCTTGGTTTAGCATTAGCGTGTTTGCCTTGAAGTCAGAAAGACCTGAATTCAAACCCTGACTCAAATACTTGCTAGCTGTGTGAATCTAGGCAAGTCAGCCTCTCAGCTTCTGATTTCTCATCTGTAAAATGGAAATTACATTCCCTCACAGGGTTATTGTGAGGCTAAAATTAGATAAGGTATATAAAGTACTTTGCAAACCCTAAAACATTATGTAAATGTTAACTACTGCTATCATTACAACAGAGTGTAATTTGAAGGGTTTCGGCAAGCCCCTCCAAAAAAATCTCTCTAATTCCAAAGTTCAGGCCAAACTAACAACCATTTGTTAAGGATCAGCTACAGGAAAGCTTTTGAGAAATACCCCAAAAAAAATAAAAATAAAAATTCATACCCTCTAGGAGGTTACAGTCTA